GGATCTGAGAGAAGAACATCCCCAACTTGAGCGGCTCGTAAAGTCAGCCTCTTGCCAAAAGGTACCCAAAGCTTGGCTTTCCGTTGCGCTGCCGACAATGTCCCTTGAGAAGCCTTCGCGCGCCCTTTGCCATGTAATGCGATATGCTGAAGCTGCGCGCATTCGAGCTCAGCTGCACGGCGATGAATAGCCCCCACCCAAGCTCGGAAAGCGGGCGGCTGAACATGGCGGGCCGATCCATCGGCAGCGATATCAACGCAACTCCTGATAACCTCTGACGAGTTCGCAGCCATTTGAGCAAACCTAGGGCCTTGTCGCCATATCGCGCGTGCTGCTTGTCTGGCGAAGATCTGCTGGGCCGCCAAGCTCGCGTCATCGCCCACAAGTACCATCTATCAGGTGTCGTGCGCGGCAGCATCCATCAAGGTCTTGTGGCACTCAAGCTGCCAAGGAGGGGGCATGTCCGCCAAGTGCTTGCTATCTAGCAGAATAAGCCTATCTAGGCGCTCCTTAAACTCCGTTCGCTGAGAAACAGACCGAGGTACAGGCCGGCGATATTGATCATCTTGAGACCGATGCTGAAGTTGAGCCCGAAGTGCAGCGTGACCCGAAACCTCTTGAGCATTGAGTGTTTCGGGAGAAGAGACCACCTATGCGTTACGATGTAGCAGGCAAGCCGCCCACCCTGGCTCGGAGAACCACGCGCGGTCGATCTGTGCCAAAGAGTGCGAATCCTTAGAGTAATGAGTGGGATCTGCAGCCGAGACATCCAGCATGCAGTCCAAGGCTTGCAGCCATATCTTCACGTGCGTCCTGTTGTTGTTTGTAGCCTGTGCCTGGCGACGCTGCGCAGGTAGAGCCAGATGAAGTCGATCAGACGCCGCGAATTTGAGATCCCCGCAGACCACAACCAGGCGCACACGTGGGTCTTCCTGAGCCGAAGAGAGATCCTCCAAAATTGAAGCCGAACCCGTGCGTGCATCGTCTTCCGCAATATCACACTTGCGAATCTTGTGGCGACGAATCTCGGAGCTAGCACCCTTCATCCAAGTTCCACTAACCAAAGGAAGAGAGTAAGAAGACGCAGCCGATGCTGACGACAATGGAATCACTGTAGCCACTCCCCCACGAGCTTGCCCATGCGAGTCCAGGTCGGATGAACCAGAAACCGTAGCGCCAGGCGCCACGCGCTGCAAGAAGAGCTGTAGTCCTTCCCAGTATTGGTGTAATTCTTGGAACGCGAAGATGGAGTGCGTGACCCCTGCTTGCTGCATGTACGTCGCTTTCGCCATTGCCTGCTGACCACGCCACCGAAGTCATGCCCTAGCATTCCCCGTCGTGAAAGTAGGTTCGGCCGTCCGAGGTGCAGTGTTCCCAAGTACGCTGTGAACGAAGATGTCGTCGAATGTGCTAAAGCGACCGCTCAGGAGCTGCCGTCGCTGCTGCAATCGGTTCAAGTAGCCGTCGGAGATCAGCCCGTGCCCATTGTCTTGCCGATAGCAGCGTCGTGCCAAAAGATCTTGGTGGGCTCGCGCCCAGACTGAGGCTCGATGCGAACGATCGGATTCCAATAATTCCAATTCCCAGATATCCACCCATTTTGCCGATCGAAGAAGAACTAGGAGTCCGAGAAGTGCTCCCTGAGGGCTGAGACCATCTTCTTCCCAGCGATCTCCTTCTTGATCTGGTAAGGGTTCTTGTCGGGGCCGATATGGAGCTGGGTGCTGCCGCCACTGGCAGCAGGCATGGGGAAGCGCATCCACTGCCCTTTCCCTGGGAGCCGCAATGCCGCGAGCGCCACGAGCACCTTCTTCTCAGCGACGCCGGTCGCGCCGTTGAACTAAATCGTAAACAACTTATCCTGGTCGTCGCCGCTTATCGAGTAGCCGTCGAGCTCGGCGTCCCTGAGCCACTTGTCGACGGAGCCCTGGACGTCGCTCTTATTGACGACGAGAGTAGGTGCCACCAATTCGAGAATGGTTCCATCGACTTCACGAGCGAATCCAGCAGCTGGCTTGGGTGGAGGGGGTTGACGGTTGGCCACAAGAAGTTCGCGTCGAAGCTCATCCACCATGCCACGCATCTTCTCTTTCTCGCTGGCCAAGTTTTCCGTCCGTCCATCGATGTCCCGCACCTGCGCTTGGAGAGAGTCGATATGCCCTTGAAGCCTCCTCTGCATCGCCTCGAGCTCGGGCCTGAGCTGCGCCTCCAATTGAATCCTGCACGTCTGCGGTGCCTGCTGCCCTGCTGCCTCCACTCCACGTATGGAGGCCATGACGGGGTCGACGGCAGAGGTGGCGGCTTTGCTGGCGGAGGCGGTGACAGGCTCAGTGACCTCTGACTGGAAGGTGTGGAACTTAGCTTGTAGCTCTCCATGGATAAGTCCTTTGATGTGCTCGTCCCAGCCCTCCGAGTCCATGTGGTCGTTACCGTCGTCGCTGGAGGCGCCCCGATTGGAACGAGAACGTGCGTCGTCTTCTTCTGGTGGAGGCCGAGCAGCAACACCATCACGTGCGCCAGAATCATCAGCAGCACGTGCGGTACGACCCTTCTTCTTCCGCTCGGGTCCCTCAAGCATGGGCGGGCGCGCGCGCGGGTGCGGGGCTGCGCGGTCCCGTGGAGGTCTGGCCGCGGTGACAGCGGTATCCGTGCGATGCCAGTGGGCTTGGCCCACCACAGCATTGAGGCTACGGAAGGAGGAGGAAGAGGAGGAGGAGGAGGAGGAGGAGGAGGAGGGGCACCTTCGTGTTCTTCCTGTTTGGGCGGCGGAGGCGGGTAAGGCCGCGGCGGCTCGCGACTGCCGCGGCCAGAGGCTGCGGCCCTGTCGGGGGAGTCTCGGCACGGAGGCGCACGCGAGAGCCTCCACGCCGACGTCGCCGATGCATCGCCGATGTCGCCAGTTCCTCGCCGATGCGTCGGCGACGCACCGGCGATGCACATCGCCGATGTATCGGCGACGCGGCGAGATCCTCCGACCCCGTCTACTCGGACCCCCTCCAGGATGCCCCTCATTCCGCCTGACGGGGGAGGCCACGGGACTGCCCTGGAATCCTCGCGCCGTGAGCAAACAAAAAAAACAGGACATGCTGGTGCGAGGTTCAGCCTGGCCTGGCGGGGCCCTCGCTGGTCCGGGGACTGTGCATCATACGGCTCGGGAGGAAGATCCGGCCCCGGGGAACAGGTCGGTCGGGACCTTTTTGGGGACCGCGTACATGGAATAAATCCAGGGGCGCCCCTTTCAGCAAGAGGAACATCTGTGGGATGGATCGCCGCGTCCAGCGCCGCGCGAGGTCGATGCCGGAGAATTCAAATGGATCGGGCCGAACCGGAACCGCGGCCCGAACAGGCGAACGTCACCACCTGCCAAGCCTCCCCACTCCAACCCGAAGACCCGAATTTCGGGTTGTGGCGGTACGGGCTCCATATGTGTTTCTTGTCCGTGTTCCCCGACCCCCCCCCCCCATTGTTGGATGCTCATTCTGGGGACCTTCCTGGAGACACTCGCTCCACTCGTGCGTCGAAGCTGCGTCGAACGCCCGTCGATGTGAGCCGACTCTGAGTCGAACCCGAGTCGAACTGGAGTCGAACTAGAGTCGAACAGATCCGTCAGGTGGGCCCCAGGAAGGTTCCCCCAAACGAGCATCTAACCACTGGAAATGGAGGGTGAGTTGAGGCCTTCGGGTTGGGTTGGGGTGGTTTGGTGGGGTGGTGGCGAGCGGGATCGCACCGAATAGGACCGTGGGCGGCCTTGTTGGGGGGGAGGCCCAACACGCGGGCGTCCGCGAGAGCGCTGCCCAGGCCCCGGGCCACAGGACTGCAGGGTACGCGGGAGACCACATGGGGAAGTCCTCGAGCAGGCCTGGGAGCAACGGGTGAGATGTCCCTGGCACCCCCACGCGCGCGTACCGAAGACACGGGATCGAGGCCAAGACTGTTCAGTTCTACTGAAGCATCTTGGACAGAGGAAGAGGAGGAGGAGGAGGAGGAGGAGGAGGAGGAGGAGGAGGAGGAGGAGGAGGAGAAGGAGGAGAGGAGGAGGAGGAGGAGGAGGAGAAGGAGGAGAGGAGGAGGAGGAGCAGGAGGAGGAGGAGGAGGAGGAGGAGGAGGAGGAGAGGAGGAGGAGGAGGAGGAGGAGGAGGAGGAGGAGGAGGAGGAGGAGGAGGAGGCAGAGGAGGAGGCAGAGGAGGAGGAGGAGGAGGAGGAGGAGGCATAGGAGGAGGATGACGAGGAGGCGACCGTAGGAAAGAAGGAGGACGAGGACGAGGACGAGGACGAGGACGAGGAGGAGGAGGAGGAGGAGGAGTACAGTCGTGAGGCGGCCACCAGCGCGTGGGTCATGAACATGCGCCCCATTCGCCGAAACACCCAAAGCCCCGTGGAAGGACCCCAAACGAAAAACATTCCAAGGCAGAGAGACCCTAGACCATGGAACACTGGGGTACTTCTCAAAAGGTAGGGTTGCTGTTACCCCTTGTGCAAGCTTCAGCGGCAGAGAGAAAGTGGAGGATGTGGAGAGCTGGGAGGTAGAAGATAATGATCAGAGAAGACAAGAGAAGAGAAACGAATATACATGAAAAAAACGAGGGCGAGAAAACAAGGGCGGTCGGAAATCGTCAATTGAATCAACTGCTCCAGAGGAGGAGGAGGAGGAGGAGGAGGAGAAGGAGAAGAGGAGGAGAAGGAGGAGGAGGCACAGGAGAAGGAGGAGGAGGAGGAGGAAGAGGAGTAACACCAGTAGGCGAAGCTGTACTTGAGCGCGGGCACTTTTGATTGCATGGCATGAGCGAAGGAGACAGTCTGCATACATGGACACTGACAGCACGAGCACGATGACCAGCATGAGAATATGCGGAGCAGCAGCAGCAGGACAACCAGGACGAGGATGGATCATGAGCAGGGAGGACAGGAAAGGAAGGAGGACTGCAGCGGGGGCAGATATAGCGAGAGCGAGAGACGCACAGAGGGTGATCAATAGCAGCAAGCAGCGGTCACGGGCTGGCCAAGGGACAAGTACTCGAGATCATCCAAGCTCCCGTCGTCGGCAGGTTCCTTTGTTGTGATACACATTCGCCGAAGTAAGCTATGCTAGTATATTCTGTCTCTTCCCTCTTTCTGTCAACTCTGCTGCTACCTACCCTTCTCTGCTTTACGCCCCAGTGTACACCCTCGTTGCCCAAGAGATGCTTTCTACTTAATCTCTCTCTCCCTCTCTGTGTCTATGCCTCTGTCGATGTCTCTGTATCTGCCTCTGTCTCTGGATATGTGAAAAAAACGTGTTCTACCGCTGCTGGCGGAAAACCGGGGGGGGTCACTACCGGTTCAAACCCCTCCCCCCCCCCCCTCCGGAAAACCAGGGGGAGTCACTACCGGTTCGAACCCCTCCCCCACCCCAGTCCATCATGAAAAGCGGGGGGGTGGGTCAGTACCGGTTCGACCCCCCCCCCCTCGAAAAGCCAAACCGGGGGGGTCACTACCGGTTAGAACCCCCCCCCTCGAAAACTGGGGGGGGGGGCGGACAGTGGTGGGGACGGTGGTGGTGGGGGGAACAGCGGGACAGTGGTGGGGACAGTGGGACAGTGGTGGGGACGGTAGTGGTGGGGACAGTGGTGAGGACAATGGTGGGAACAGTGGGACAGTGGTGGGGACGGTGGTGGTGGGGACAGTGGTATGGGGACAGTGGGAATGTGGTGGAAACAGTGGGACAGTGGAGGGTACAGTGGTGGTGGGGACAGTGGTGAAGGCGGTGGCGAGGACGGCGGTAGGACAACGGGACAGTGGGACAGTGGGGACAGTGGTGGGGACAGTGGTGGGGACACTGGGGACAGTGGTGGGAACAGTGGGACAGCTCAGTGGGACAGCGGAAGAGTCAGTGGGACAGTGGGGACAGTGGGGATAGTCGGGAAGTGGTTGGGGCCGTGGAGAAAGTGGGGAGAGTGGAACCGTGGTGGGAACAGTGGTGGGGACAGTGGGGACAGTGGGGACAGTGCGACAGTGGTGGGGGCACTGATGGGGACAGTAGGGACGGTGGTGGAACCAGTGCCAGTGGGGACAGTGGTGGTGAGGACAATGGTGCTGGGAACAACAATGGGGGATGTGGTGCGGACGGTGGTAGGGACCGGGAGTCGTTTGCTGGCGGTGAGGGGGGGGGGGGGGAGGAGATAAGGTGTTACTGCGGCCCGTTGGTTGTTACTGCGGCCCGGTGGGTGTTAGTATGGCCAGGGGTCCTCCGGAGTGTATTAATTATCGAGTACGGTGAAGGGGGGGGGGGTCCAAAAAGGCTCCGCCCCCCCCCCCTTCACCGAAGAGCCTCTCGGAAGAGCCTCTGGTGCTCTCCGAAGAGCCTCTTGGAGCCGCCGAAGACCTTCTTCCAGCCGCCTAAGAGCCGCTTGGGCTCTCCGAAGAGCCTCGTGGGGCCTCCGAAGAGCTTCTTGGGGCATCCGAAGCGCTTCTTGGGCTCTCCGAAGAGCCTCTTGGGTTCCCGAACTAACTACTACTACTACTACTACTACTACTACTACTACTACTACTACTACTACTACTACTACTACTACTACTACTACTACTACTACTACTACTACTACTACTACTACTACTACTACTACTACTACTACTACTACTACTACTACTACCACCACTACTACCACCGCCACCACGACTACTACCACCACACACACCACCACTACTACACTACTACTACTACTACTACTACTACTACTACTACTACTACTACTACTACTACTACTACTACTACTACTACTACTACTACTACTACTACTACTACTACTACTACTACTACTACTACTACTACTACTACTACTACTACTACTACTACTACTACTACTACTACTACTACTACTACTACTACTACTACTACTACTACTACTACTACTACTACTACTACTACTACTACTACTACTACTACTACTACTACTACTACTACTACTACTACTACTACTACTACTACTACTACTACTACTACTACTACTACTACTACTACTACTACTACTACTACTACTACTACTACTACTACTACTACTACTACTACTACTACTACTACTACTACTACTGCTACGTCCCTAGCACCCTAGGGCTAGCACTCCCTAGCGCCAGTACTTCCTAGGGCTAGCACTCCCTAGCGCCAGTACTACCTGGCACTCCCTCGGACTAGCACTCCCTAGGACTAGTATTCCCTAGGGCTGGTACTCCGTAGTGCGAGTACTCCCTAGGACGAGTACTCCCTTGGACGAGTACGCCCTAGGGGTAGTAATTCCTAGGACTGGTACTCCCTGGGGCTAGCACTCCCTGCGGCTAGTACTCCGTAGGACTAGTACTCCTTATGAACGATATTACTTAACACCAACACTACAGCACCATTGTACTACCACACTACAGCACTACTACCACAATACCAGTACCACAACACCACAACACCGCTACCACAACACCACTACACCGCTACCACAATACCACAACCACAACACCACAACACCGCTACCACAACACCACTACCACAGCACCACTGCCACTACCACAACACTACTACCTACTAACAACTCAACAACACTACCAACACCACACCACTAACACAACACTACCAACACCACACCACTAACACAGCACACCACTACCAACACCACACTTCTAACACAGCATACAGCACAACCAGCCACTACCAACACCACACCACTAACACAACATTACCAACACCACACCACTAACACAGCACAGCGACCACCACACCACTAACACAGCACTACTACCACGTTGGTTCCAGGTGGGAGTTACTGTGGCCACTTTTGCCTGTGCGGGAGTGCATTCCCTTAGGGGTTGCGACTCTCTCCAGATCTAACATGAGATACCTTTACATATTACTTCTCATTGAGCGGCCTGCGCGGGCCACAGTAACTCCCATCCCGCCGCGCGACGGGCCACACTAACACCCAACGGGCCACACTAACACCCAACGGGCCTCAGTAACAACCGGTCGCGGGGGGGAGGGGTTCGAACCGGTAGTGACCCCCCCTTCGGTTCTCGAGGGGGGGGGGGGTCGAACCGGTAGTGACCCCCCCCGGTTTTCGAGGGGGAGGGGGGGGGGGTCAGGGGAGGAGGGGGGGGTTTTTTGCCGGGGGAGGGGGGGGGAGGGGGGGGGGGTCCAGCAGGGGGGGGGATTTTCGGAGGGGGGGGGGGGACGACCCCCGGGTTCCGGAGGAAGAGGGGGGAAATTTTCCACAGTAAAGCGGCGGTGGATCACGCTCTCTCAGATGTCTGTCTGTTTGGTTGCGCAATTCTCTCTCTCTCTCTCTCGTTCTCCCTCTCCCTCTCCCTCTCCCTCTCTCCCCCTCAATCTCTCTGAATATCTCCCTCTCCCCTCCCTCCCTCCCACCTCCCTCTATGTGTGTGTGCTTCTCCCTCCCGCCCTCCCTCTCTCCATCTCTCTCGCGTCCCTCCCACCTCTCTCTCGCTCTCTCTGCCACTGTGTGCGTGCTTCCTTCTCCCTCCATCCTGCCCTCCCTCCCTATGTGGTTCTCCCTCCCACCCTTCCTCTCTCCCGTCCCTCCCGCCTTTTTTTGATGCTGTCTCTCTCTCTCTCTCTATTTCTCTCTCTCTCTCTCTCTCTCCCTCCCCCTCCCCACATCGGCCTCTCTCGCGCATCCCGTCCTCCCCGCCCCTTGGCCTCGTGCTCCTCGCCTTTTTCTCCTCCGCCCTGCCGCTCCCCAGAAAAAACCCTGGTGTGACAGTGCGCTCTTTGCCCAGACCCCCGACGTCATGATTTTTCATTACGTCGACCCTCAGAAGCTTCGACCTATTCCCCGGGACCGGTTTTTCATCCTGATTCGCTTTTTGACGGTCCCGAGGCCCGTATAGTGGCCCCCATACCCCGAGAATGGCACAAAACCTTCCGTCGTGACTTTTTCATAACTCGAGGGGGTTGGGGTACTCAGCATCCGTGGCCTGCCCGCGTCAAGCCTCCGCCCCCTCGACAGGAAAGAGCAGCAACCAGCACGGCTGCTTCCCAGACTCTCCCCCGAGGGAACGTTTTGAGCAGGGCCCCGAGGCAAACATCCGGCCGTGGCGACGAGGCGCCCCCCTCCCCAGGGAGCCCCTCCCAAGGGCGCCTCCCTCCCAAGGGAGCCCCCCCAAAGGCTCCTTCCCCTCCTCCTCCTCGTATTCCCCCTGCTCCTCCTGCTCCTCCTCCTGCTCCTCCTCCTGCTCCTCCTCCTCCTTCCTCCTTCTCCTCCTCCTCCTCCTTCCTCCTCCTCCTCTGGCCACTCCCCTGCTTCCGATCCCTGAGCCGCGCAAGCACCCGGCGAGCACCATGCACACAGAAGGCCACGCGGAGATTTGAGCCCCTCTGCTGCAAGCGCCAGACCGGTTTCCCAGCCCTCCTTTGTTTGTGCCCTCGGTCTGGATAGGGCACTGCTGCTATTCTCCTCTGCTTCTCATTCTCCCACTGCCTCCTCGTCTGCCCTTTTTTGTGGGGTATATTTGTTTGTTCTCTCTTTTTTTTTTTCTCTCTCTCTCTCTCTCTCTCTTTTTTTCTCTCTCTCTCTCTCTCTGCCCGCTTCCTCAACGCTCCCTCTTCTTCGCTTGCTTGCTCCTCGTTTCCACTCCATCCACCCGACCTTGAGAAGACCCTCGGGATGCGCTTATACGCTACCCAAATGGGACATCGCCCTTCTTCTGATCTTCTAAACGCGAAACTGTCGGGACTTTCGACTACAGTAGTTGGTGATCTTCCTGCCAGTTTCCTCGACGTTTCTTTGGACCAACCTACATGTATGGCTGTTGTTGACGCTGGAGGGGCGAACGTGCTCAAGAAACTGAGCCAACCTTTCTGGCAAGCCTGCTCATCCTTCTCCTCCTCGTGCTCGTCCTCGTGCTCGTCCTCCTCCTCCTCCTCCTCCTCCTCATCATCATCATCACCATCACCATCACCATCACCATCACCATCACCATCACCATCATCATCATCATCATCATCATCATCATCACCATCATCATCATCATCATCATCATCATCATCATCATCATCATCATCATCATCATCATCAGCATCATCATCATCATCATCATCATCATCATCATCATCATCGTCATCGCCATCGTCATCGTCATCGTCCTCCTCCTCCTCCTCCTCACCTCCTCCTCCTCCTCGTCCTCACGGGCGTTTTTGCCAGGACCTCTCGAGCGACTGCGCCGGATTGGGACACGCCCGGCGCGCCCGGTGCACCCCTGGAGGTGGGGCGCGCAGGGGCCCCGCGGGGCGATCTCTGCGAGGATGTCTCTGTAGTCCGCGAGGGCGCCCGCCTGGGACACGCCCGGCGCACCTGGCGCGCCCGGTGCATCCACGGACATATGGTCCCTGGGGGCGCGCCAGGGGCCCGTGGGGCGATCTTGGCGAGGATCTCTCGAGCGAGGGCGCCAGACCGGGACTCGCCCGGCGCGCCGGGCGCACCGTGGAACTGGCCCCATGCATGGGAGCGCGCAGGGGGCCGCAGGGCGATTTTTGCGAGGACTTCTCGAGCGAGGGCGCCGGATTGGGACACGGCGCGCCCGGCGCGCCCAGGGCATCCGTGGAAGTGGTGGCTCCCAGGGGGCCCCACGGGGAGCGATGTGTGCGAGGGTTTCTCGAGCGAGGGCGCCAGAAGGGGACACGCCCAGCGCGCCCGGTGCACATGTGGCAATGGTCCAGGGCGCGCCGGAGCTAGGCCCGTGGGGCTTTTTGCGAGGACGTCTCGAGAGAGGGCGCCGGATTAGGACACGCGCGGCGCACCCGGAGCGCCCGATGCATCCCCAGAAATGGGCCCTGGGGGCGCGCTGAGAGGCGGCTTTCTCGCGCGCCGAGTGAGAGGATGACGTGAGTTCCACAGAAACTCCCTCAAACAGCCATTCCCAGACGGCGCTGACGCAAATCGCGACGTGACTGGCCCTCCATCCCCCGCCCCTCCAACCCCCCTCCTGGCGTCGCCCGTCATCGACAGGGGATAACAGACATATGTTATCTCCCTCTGGGCGCCCAAGCAAACTTCTCAGCACCCTCGCAGACCGGGCAGCGCCACGGCATGGTGTTGTCCGCGCTCCTGGGCGTCGCCGTCCCCGTCCGACAGCCGGACCGCGCTGCCGGAGCCACAGGACTCCGCGTCCCAGAACTCCTCGTCGTCGCCGCCCTCGGGATCGCACATCGAGATCTTAGAATCGAGGTTCGATCCTCCCCGTCGCACCCCAGACCCCCGACGCCATGATTTTTTCATCACGTCGACCTCCCGAGGTCTGAACCTCTTCCCGAGGACCGGATTCTCATCCCGAGTGGTTTTTTGACGGTCCCGAGGCCCGGTTGGGGCCCCGAGGGGTCGAACATAGCGAAAAACCTTCGGTCATGATTTTTCTTTTGCTCTAGGTCTGGGAAACATGCCACCAAGAGAGCTCGCCTCGAGGAAACGGTCGGGAAGCAGCCCTGGGCACGAACATATGGCATGGCCAAGGGCGGCCGCCCACACGAGTGTTCCCGGGGGAAGCTCGAAGGAGGGGCAAAGGGAGCGAGGGAGGATAAGCAACGCAAGGGTGGAAGCGACAAGACGTTGTGTACCCTGAGATCTTGGCGTTGCATTTGTTTCACAACGGGCGTTTTTGCCCAATCTCGGGCCCTGGGGCCCTCGCAGATCGATCCGGCTCGAAACATGACGCAGAAAGATGGGGTCCAGGGCTCCGGCCGTAAGGTGTTTTGCGATGTTGCCAGCGTGACGGCCACGCGGAGTCAAAAAACCAACGCGCTACTCAGCACCACTCCGCGCCAGTCAGCGCCGCTCCGCGCCACTCAGCGCCACTCAACGCTACCCGGCGCCACTCCAGGGAGCACCTCAACGCCGACCGACGCCACACAGCGCCACTCTGCACCACCGTACGCCACTCAACGCCAATCGGCGCCACTCAGCGCCACTCGACGCCACTCAGCGCCACTCGGCACCACTCGGCGCCAACCAGCGCCACTCGGCGGCTGTAGGAACAAGATGATGGGGAGAGCGATGAGGAGGGGGAGGAGGAGGATGAGGAGTAGGAAGGCGAGGACGACGAGGACGAGGAGGAGGGCAACGATGAGGAGGCGGAGGAGGACGAGGAGGAGGACGAGGAGGACGAGGAGGAGGAGGACGATGAGCGCCCGGCCCCAGCCGGGAGGAAGACGCAGAGGACGACTGCAGGATCGCGTCGGACATGGAGGGCACACGAGGGGCATTGGAGCACAGGAAGCAAAGCAGGACACAGGAGGCCACTGGAGCCCCGCGAGCCCGGGTGGGGGTCTGGCGGAGTCACCAGCGCAACGTCCCCGCAGGACCGGGACAAAAACGGATTCAAAAAAATCGAGTGGTTTCCCGTGGGATCTGCTCTCCCACACAAAACCTATGCAAATACCTCAGTTTTCGCGAAATTGCAAACAAATCGTCCCCGCGAGCAACGCTGCGAAGAGGGGGGGGCGCGCAACGCCAAGATAAAACATAATGCAAACACGTGGTTTTTATGCAGAACAACAGATCCCACGGGGATTTGCCCCGCGAAAACAAACAGACGCAGCAGCAGGAAAGCAGGAGGAGCAGGAAGAAGGATGGTCGGAAAAGAAACGTTTTCGCCCGGCTGCGGCCGCCATTGGCTCTCAGGCGCCACCGACGCAGACCGAGAGAGAAGGAGGGGGAGAGAGAGAGAAAGAGAGAGAGAGAGAGCGAGAGAGAGGGAGAAAGAGGGGGAGGGAGAGAGATGCGTAGAGTTAGCCGCGCAGGCGGGTGCAATAAAATCCTTCTGGTATGCATGCCCGCACAGCAAGGACCACGAGTCGCCTGGCTCGAGGCCGAGGAGGCAGATGGCGCAGGCCATCGTGATCGCCAAAAAATGAGCGCAATATGGGCTAGGGCTGATGAGGGCGACGAGGGAACATGAGGCGAGGATGACGACAGTAATGGAAGCGATGACGCCAAGATGGCGACCCCTTCCTCTGATCGGTGTCCTCATCCTTGATCGGGCATCCCAGAGCCCACGAGATGGCCCACGTTTCCTCCTCCGTTCCCCTAGAACTCGTCCTCCAACTGCGTCCCCTCCAGTTCCTCCTCCTGGCTTTGCCCTGTCCTCCAGCCCCTCAGCCCCCACTCCTCGAATTCCTTCCCATATTCCCAAATCAGAACCTGCCTCTGTAGGGATCATAGCGGATTCATATGGGTAAGTGAGGTCTGTCGCCGATTCCCGGGTGCCCCTGTGGGTCGCCGATTTCAGTTGCTGGCCCGGGTGCCCGGATGCCCGGGTCATCGTCATCGTCATCGTCTTCGCCATCGTAATCATCGTCGTCGCAGTCGCCATCATCATCATCATCGTCATCCTCGTAATCATTGTCATCATCACCGTCTCGGCCGTGGTCGTCGACATCATCATCACCATCACCATCACCATCACCATCACCATCACCATCACCATCACCATCATCATCATCATCATCATCATCATCATCATCATCATCACCATCATCATCATCATCCTCATCATCATCATCATCATCACCGTCATTACCATCATAAGTGCCATCGTCATCGTTGTCGGCATCCCCGTCGTCCTCGTCGTCACCATCATCATCGTCGTCGTTGTCGTCATCGTCGTCGCCGCCTTGATCGTCATCGTCATCATCCCCCTGTTTTTTTCTGATGCTGCGTCTGTTGGTTTTCGTGGGGTGAATCCCCGTGGGATCTGTTGTTTTTGCATAAAAACCTATATGTTGTCGCTATTGTTTTATCTTGGCGTTGCGCCGCCCCCCTCTTCGCAGTGCTTCTCGCAGCTGCGATTTGTTTGCATTTGCGCGAACACTACCGTATTTGCATAGGTTTTGCGTGGGAGACAGCAGATCCCACGGGAAACCCTTCGGTTGTGTCACCGTCGTCGTCGTCGCAATCGTCATCGCAATAATCATCGTCGTCAGCACAGTCATCATCGTCGTCGCAGTCGCCATCGTCATCGTCATCCTCGACATCCTCATAATCAATGTCGTCATCATCGCTGTCGCCGTCTAGGTCGTGGTCGTCGACACCATCATCATCGTCATCATCGTCGCAAGGACCATCGTCGTCGTAGTCGGCATCCCCGTCGTCCTCATCATCATCCTCATCATCCTCCTCCTCATCATCATCATCATCATCATCATCATCATCGTCATCACCGTCGCTATCGTGATCGTCGTGGTCGCCTCGATCGTCATCGTCGCCTTCGCCGTCATCGGCATCGTATCCATCGTCATCATCATCGCCATCAACATCATCAGCAGCGTCATCGCCATCATCGTCGTCATCGTCGTCCTCGTCGTCATCATCATCGTTGTTTCGCCATCAGAATCATCATAATCAGTAGCAACATCGACATCGCCCTGGCCCTCATCGCCATCGTCTCGTCATCCCTATACCCCCCTATACCCCTACAGCCCTACAGCCCTATAACCCTATAGCGCTATAGCCCTATAGCCCTACTGACCTGTAGCCCTATGGCCCTATAGCCCTATAGCCCCGTAGCCCTATAGCCCCAGAGCCATATAACCCTGTAGCCACATGGCCATGTTGTCCTCTAGTCCTATCGCCCTATAGCGCAAATAGCCCCATAGCCCCAGAGCCATATAGCCTCATAGCCCCAATAGGCCGAGTAGACCTAATAGACCTCATAGACCTTCGAAGATATTATGTTGTTGTCCTCACCTCATTTGCAGTCGTCGTCCAAGAGGTGCAACATCAAATCACGTCCTTCACGCGTGCGAAGGGGTTGGGCCTCTCCGGGGCCTCTTCGGAAAGATCCGCCCACCGAGAGCTGCGTTGGGACGGTCGCGGACGGGGAGGAAGCAGGAGTAGGCGAAGGACGACGCCGGTAGTGGTGGTGAAGCCGACGGAGCAGCAGGAGGGAGGAAAAGGGGGAGAAGGACGAAGGTTGCTTAGGGTCAGGCGGAGGTGCTCGGGCTGGGGCGTTCCGGGTATCACTACCGATCTCACTACCGATATCACTGTCGATCTCACGATTGCACTCACCGGTATCATCAGTGCACCACGGTCCCACGATGCACTAACTAACGATCTCATGATCGATCTCATTATGCATCTCGCTCAATGAATCTCTCCATGTAAGGGATTACAAAAAGGGTATTCACTAACGATCTCGTGATCTCATATGTCATGCCAAAGATTACAAAAAGGATCCCATAGGCTCCGATGGGGCTTTTCTCCGGTATCATTTGATCATTTTCATCCTCACTCCTCGGTCAACCTCAATCCTCATGCACCGGTCATCGCCCAAAGCAGGGGTTACATTGAGGGCTCCGAGCGGGCATATAATAATATACAATATCATCATATTGTGCGATGTAGAGGGCCGTGTCGCATGCCTCATCCTTCCTGCTCGTTGCCCCTCATTGCTCGTATTTGCTCTAAGCGCCGCACCACGCCTCATCCGTTATCGCCCCCCTCCTCATCGTTTTCCTCCAGATCCTCTTCGCCCTCCTCCTCCTCCTCTCCCTCCTGTCCTTCCTCCGCTTCCGTATTCTCCTCCTGATCCGCCTCCTTCTCCTCCTCATCCCCCCCCCATCCTCATCCTCATCATCCTCCCGCTCCGCCTCGCACCCCTCCTCCCCTCAGCGCCACACAGCGCCACGCAACGCCACTCAGCACCAGTTCGCGCCACCGACGCGCCGCCGCACGACGCCGCCGCTCAGCGCCACTCTGCGCCACTCTGCGCCACTCAACGCCACTCTGCGCCACTCAGCACCACAGAGCGCCGCTCTGCGCCATTCAATGGCCGAGTGGCGCGAAGTGGCGCTGAGTGGCGCAGAGTGGCGCTGACTGGCCCTGAGTGGCGTGAGTGGCGCTGAGTGGCGCTGAGTGGCGTGTTGGTTTTTTGAGCGACGCCGGCCGTCAGAATGGATGTTGCAACTCTTTTGCAACGTCGGATCTCCGGTCTGGCCGGCCAGTCGTGCAGTCATGCTTACACACAACGGCAGGAGGTCCCAGGCTCAGGATCGAGGTTCGAGGACGCTGCTTTTGCACCTTTCGGGACTCCCGGGGCCGGCCATGCCGCCAGGGCCGCGTTGGCCTCGGGAGTCCAACTCAGGGCAGGCCCCGGGAGAGGTCCAGAGGTGGACTGTGAGCACGGGGTTCGAGGATCGAGGTTCGAGGATCGAGGTTCGAGGCTCGAGGATCGAGGTTCGAGGTTGGAGGATCGAGGATCGCCACGGCCACAATTCGCCTTCCAATTCTTGCCGGGAGGCGCCCCGGGAGGGGTCCCATAGGGGTTGATCTCTCGAGTCCCGGGGGCCGGGCCGCGCCCCCATAGAGATCCTCGAGGTCTCGTCTGGATGCGTGTATGGCACCACTGGGCGAAGCCTTCCAGAAGGCCGCGAGAAGTGGCGACAGCTGATATCAGCTGCCAGCAACCTCAGTAGGGCCAGTTGTGAGCCGCGAGGTCTCGTCTGGATGCGCGTATGGCACCGCTAGGCGAAGCCTTTTAGAAGCCCACGAGAAGTGGCGACAGCTGATATCAGCTGCCAGCAACCTCAATAGGGCCAGTTGTGAGCCGCGAGGTCCAGTCTGGATGCGCGTATGACCCCGCCACGCGGAGCCTCCCAGGAGCTCACGGAAGTGGCGACAATTGCGCAGGTGGCAGCACCTCCCAGGAGTCGCGTATGTCACCACTGCGCTGCGCCTTCCAGACGCTCAAGAAAATGGCGACGGTTGCGAAGGCTGCAGCACCCTCAGGGGGCCACGAGACCCGGTCTAGATGTGCGTGTGAATCCAAATCCTCCTCCTCCTCCTCCTCCTCCTTCATCTCTGCCTCCTGCGTAAAGTAAGTTGACTCGAAGGGTTCCCCTTCCCTTTGTTCCCTTCCCCGACCGGGGGGGGGAGGTCCCGGGGGAAGCACGCGGGGGGGGGATGGAGGGGTCCTGGGGGAACTCCTGGTCAGAATACCACAGCCCTGCCCTCTCCGCTTCACGGGAGCGTCGTCATTTTGCTTAGCACAGTTTCTCCATAGCACGTTCTGGTGGGTACATCAAAATTGCACGCACGTACAGTTACGGCCGTCCGTGTGGCGAGTCTCCTTCCGGTCCTCCTCTCATCCTCTCTTCCTCCTCCTCCTCCTCCTCCTCCACAACCTCCAACTCCTCCTCCACCCCCTCCTCCTCCCCCTCCTCCTCCTCCTCCACCCCCTCCTCCTCCTCCTCCTCCTCCTCCTCCTCCTCCTCCTCCTCCTCCGCCTCCTCCTCCTCCTCCTCCTCATCATCATCATCATCATCATCCTCCCCCGCCTCCCCCGCCTCCCCCGCCTCCTCCTCCTCCTCCTCCTCCTCCTTGCCTTGAGACGGCCTCATCTTTCTCTATCCCCGCCCCCTCTTCCTCTCCTCCTCCGTCTCCTGCGCCTCATCTTCATCCCTCCTTCCTCCTCCTAGTCCTCCTCCTCCTACCCGCGCCCTCCCTCCTCATCCTCCTCCTCCTCCTCCTCCTCCTCCCCTCTTTTTTCCTCCCTCCTCTCCTCTACCTTCCTCTCCCTTCTCTTCCTCCTCCTGCTCCTGCTCTGCTCCTGACTCCTGCTCCTGCTCTTGGCTCCTGTCCTGCCTCTCCTCCTCCTCCTCCTCACTCCTCCTACTCACACTCACATCCTCCGCTACCCTGTCACGTCGTCCTTTTGTCACTCTTCCTTTGATCACACATCGTAGGCCATCGGACGGCAAAAACTTCGGGTACGGCGGGACTTCGGACCGTAAGGCCTCATCAGATAACTATACACACTCGCAAAATAGTTGGATCTTCCCGCAGAACATTTTCTCATATATTTTCTAGGTTTTTGTCTTCCCCCCACTTCGAATATTTTCCGATTTTTTTTTGGGGGGGAATCGACGATTAATTGTGTCTGTGTGTTTTTGTTCGCTCCTGACCCCCGCCCAACAAAAACGAGCCCTCTTGGCGGCGCGCACAAGGGGGTGGAGGGAGGGGGGAGGTATGGGATTAAAATTTCGTCAGATGGGAGGCTGTTCTGAGAAGGCGCACACCTCTTTATCTGTAGATAACGCCGCGCTTCTTGAGACACAGAGGCGCTTTTTAAAAAGGCAGGGGCCCCCCTCCCCCCCCCACCCTCTGCGCGGGCTGGCCCTCGCTGTCCGCTCATGCTATATCTCGAGGCGCACGCGCGGGGTGGCAGCAGTCAGCATGGGCGGCTCGGCGCGGTATTAAAAACGGCGTGCGGATTGAGACGGCTGATGAGGGTGGGGGTGGCCGACACGGAGGCACGCCACAGATCCACGAGTACCTCGGGGGATTCGCCACGTCCTACCTCTCCGCCCCTGGTCGTACCGCTCCTCCTAGCGCCCTTCCTCATCTTTTCGTCGGCCGTCTTGAACCATCCTTCCTCTCCTCCTCCTCCTTAGTGGTATAAGGCTCATCTTCTCCTCCTCCTCCTCCTCCTCCTCCTCCTCCTCCTCCTCCTCCTGCAACCGACTGAGGGTCTCACAAGGCCACCAGAAATAGTCAGCAGAGCAGGAAGAGTCGTCACCAAACTGTTTTCGACTGTCGTTGAATGTTCCTCTCGTAATGGGACATGCCCGACTGCAGGCCACGGCGAAACCCATGGGTGGGGGACGCTGGCGGCCCTACTGCGGCCCTCGCGGCGAGAGGAGGGCCAGCGCCGCGGAGCAGGGCCGTCGAGAACAGCTCCGAGCAAGTCGGACGGCAAGGAGGACTGCAATCGGCGGACGAATGGGCTAAGCCCATTCGCTGCCGAGCTCCCGCGGGCGTGCTTCAAAAGAGGAAAGAGAGAGAGAGAGAGAGAGAGATAACGAGAGAGAGAGAGAGAGGGATATCAACAGAGAGAGAGGGAGAGAGAGAGAGAGAGAGAGCGGAGGGAGGGAGAGGGATAATGCAATGTAATGGAATGTATTGCCCATTGGGAGAGTGCATCGCGCTAAATAATCTCAGCTTGTTAAAAACAATTGGATACGATTCGGGGAGTGGGTGGTGAGAGAGGCAAGAGCCCTCAGACAGCACCCGAAAAACTATCCCCTGGATTGAGCGTCTCGAATGCTCTCCCGCATTCGGATTTTCTCAACCAAAGCTTCCATGCGTTGCTCATAGGAGGGGGGCCGCCCCTGAAGCCGACAGACTCGTACGAACATTCGTGGCAGTAGAGGTCTCGAAGTGCTCTGGCGGGGCTCGGCGCAGCCTTGAAACAGGGGGCACCTCATCCAGCGCCTGGGCCACACGACGGTTGGGGCATCTGCCTTGCCCCACCATGGCCAGGACCCCCATGCCTACACGAGTCGGGGGCTGACAGGGGCGTCCTGGCCTCTCGGAGAACTGAGACGACTGGCTTCGGCCTGCACCCGCGCCGCGAGCTCGACGCGCGACCCTGAGGCCTCCTGGGCTCCACCCGAGGCCGCGGAGCTGTGATCTGATCTAGGCGTCCGCTTGGGATGCGGGTCCTGGAGAATCGAAGAGAGCTCGAGGAGTCTGCTGAGCAGAGCTCGATCCCGTGCTCGATGGAGCACGCGTGCTCGACGGATGGCTCGAGCGAGCCTGCGAGGCGGAGGAGCTCGGCCCCGTGCAGGACTGAAGGCTGCGCCCGTGGCCGGGCCGCAGCGGCACCAGGCGCCCGCGGACTTTGAAGTGCTGGTGGTGGCACTTCTGGCACCAGATGCCGAAGGTGCAGCGCCCCTGGCGGTCGTAACTGCACGGCCTGCACCGCCCGTCGAGGTGCCCGACGCTGCCGAGGCTCGGCAGGCCCGCCGACGATGCCCTCATCTGATCGCTGAGCTTGGTCAGCGGGCTCGGCAGGACGACGGACTCGACCACGCCATCAGCAAGGGAGCAGCTGGATGATGAGATCTGCTCCGATGACAAAGAGGGCTTCTCCTCCTGGCTGTCAGGACACTGTTCGCGGCTCGGCTCGGATGGCATACTGACGGCAGGGCGGCCCGCATATTGTTCATGCCGCCTCTTGCACGGCGGCCACGAGTGGGCGGAGGCCTCGCGCGAGCGCGGCTCGGAGACGTGCAAGAATGTCTTGTCCTGGCCAGCGCGCATCAGCGCCAGTGGCCCAGCGAGGTCGGCCGAGCCCACGGCCATCATCTTTTGGTCCTGCGCGTTCTCCTTGACGAGGATGGAGTAGCGCGCGGACTGCCTCACCGAGACGGCCGCCCTCCCCCGCGGCTTCTCGGCGGGGCACGCCACGCGCGAGACGCTGTGGACCCGCACGGCGCGCGTGCCCTCTCCGTGAACCATGATGCTGTGGCTCCCGGGCTGCAGGCAGGCGGCCGGCACGACCGACTGCGCCTGGACGCCCTTGCCCCCGGCGAGCTGCACGGGGTGATCCTTCGTCATCTTCAGCCGCGTCCCGTCCACGAGCACCACGTCCACCCAGTCCAGGGACCTGGGAACAAGGAAAGGCGACACCAGCACCACCAAGGCGAGGAGACACGAGGCGCGAGGGGCGTCTCACTGGCGGTGTGGTCCCCTCCGGCTCGAGACATCCCCGGCCGCCAGCTCGGGGAGGCATCGTGGACCTCCTCGCTGGAGGTGGCCCCCTCGGTGGTGCTGGTGTCGCATCTCCTCCCTCCGAGGACCGAGAGTCCTGGCTCAGCTGCTCCACGCTCACGTAGTCGACGCAGTCCCCCAGCGAGTCGTAGCACAGCACCTTCTGGCCCATCGCCAGCTGCCGCAGCTCCCGTGGGGCGGCCTCCCCCTTCACCCACACGACGGCCTGGAGGATCAACAAAAACAGAGCACTGACACACAACTTGCAGGCCCGCCGCGCGGACCCCCGACCATGCCCATGCCGATGCCATGCTTTTCACTGCACCGACCGTGCAGACGTGCTGCAGCGGAGTGCTGCGTGGACTTCTGTCAACGCAAGACCCCGAAGCGGCGAGCGACAAACGATGTGAATGTCACGTGGAATTTGTCCTGCAGCCTCCTGACCAGCGCTAAACTCCGCACGAGATCCACTTCGAAGTCCGGAGCGGAACTCTCCAGGACAATCCAGGCCCATTAGAGGCTTCTTGGATGGGGTCCGAGTAGGTAGGGTCGAAGGATCGCGCCGCATCGCCAATGCATCGCCGATGTATCGGCGATGCAGCGGCGATGCATCGGCGCCGTCGGCGATGCATCGGCGATGTCGGCGTGGGGAAACACGGGCTCCACATAGAGCCGCATCGCCGATGCATCGGCGATACGACGCGATCCCCCGACCCCATCTACTCGGACCCCATCTGGGAGGCCTAGAATCCCATGGTTTTCCGAAAGAGCTCCGCGCTGGAGCGCGTTTCTTCACTTTCGGCGATAATGGGCATTATAGGGGGGGGGGGGGGGGGGGCAGGGGGGGGGGATAATTTAACGTCTCCCCCCCGCCGTGCGCACGGCGGCAGTGCCCCGAGCGCATTGGGGCGGGGCAAGGTCCCCTCCCCCCAAAACCGGACTCCCGGGATTTGGGGCTTTGGGACCCTCCGGACGGGCCTCGAAGCGGCCACCGGGCCGCATATGGCGTTTTGCCAAGCCTTCCCAGCACACCTAGGGCGACCAGGGGGGTCATCGGAGACGTCTCAGAGACCCCCATGACAGAGCAAGAGAGCTCCAAGAGTGACCGACGTGACCTCAAGATGACCCAAGAGGTCTCCAGGACGGCCCCAAAGAGGCCTCCAAGAGCACTCCCAAGAAGGCCCCCCGAGCCCGAAATCATTGATATTCTGTCGGTTTGGGGTGAATTTGGGGGTTCTCCTCTTTTCGGCTTCCCGACGCTCCAAGACGGCGGTCTCCTGGGCGTCCGAAGCCGCCTGGGAGGCTCCAAAATCGCCCCACAACCATCCGAAAGGGCTTCCAAGCAGTCCAAAAGAGCCCCCAAACGGCACAACACGGGTCCAAGATGGCCCTCAGAGAGCCCCATGACGACCCAAGATGGCCCAAAGACACCCTCCGAAGAATTCCAAATCGTGATTCGGTCGTTCAGGGAGACCGCGGTTGGAGGCAGGGTGGCCCGAGGAAGCCCCCGGAGGCCCCCAGAATACATACGCCCAGGAGGTCTCCAGAAGGCCTTAAGAAAGCCTGAAACAACTTTTGTGAGGCCCCTAGAGGCTCTCCAAGGAGGAGCCTCCGCAAAAAAGAGCTGAGGAGGATGGGGAGAATGCGCAGGGCATGGCGAAAATAAGGAAAAAGAAGCATGGAGGAAGGATAACGAATCACATTATTATAGCGGCGATGCCAGAAAAGGCAACCAAGAGTTATCGCTAAATTGTCGGCTTGACCTTCCTGCTATTCCGCCTCTGCATACCAAACCTCAAGGACCAAGGTGCATGGCGCGAAGCGCCACTGCAGTCTTGTATCTATCTGTATATATATATAGAGAGAGAGAGAGAGAGGGAGAGAGAGAAAGATTCCTCTTCCTATATTTTTATAAGCCCGGGCGGGGGGAAAACCCGTCCCCCCCCCCCCAAAACCGGACTCCCGGGATTTGGGGCTTTGGGACCCTCCGGACGGGCCTCGAAGCGGCCACCGGGCCTCGCAGGGCGTTTTGCCAAGCCTTCCCAGCACACCTAGGGCGATCAGGGGGGTCATCGGAGACGTCTCAGAGACCCCCATGACAGAGCAAGAGCGCTCCAAGAGTGACCGACGTGACCTCAAGATGGCCCAAGAGGCCTCCAGGACGGCCCCAAAGAGGCCTCCAAGAGCACTCCCAAGAGGCGAAAATCATGGATTTTCGGTTAGTTTTTGGTGAATTTTGGGGTTCTCCTCTTTTCGGCTTCCCGACGCTCCAAGACGGCGGTCTTCTGGGCGTCCGAAGCCGCCTGGGAGGCTCCAAAATCGCCGCACAACAATCCGAAAAGACTTCCAGGTAGTCCAAGAGAGCCCCAAAACGGCACAACACGGGTCCAAGATGGCCCTCAGAGAGCCCCATGACGACCCAAGATGGCCCCAAGACACCCTCTGAAGCATTCCAAATTGTGACCCGGACGTTCAGGGAGAGTTGGAGGCAGGGTGGCCCGAGGAAGCCCCCAGAGGCCCCCAGAATACGCCCAGGAGGCCTCCAGAAGGTCTTAAGAAAGCCTGAACAATTTGTTTAGGTCCCCAGAGGCTCTCCCGGGAGGAGCCTCCGCAAAAAAAAGCTGAGGAGGATAGGGAGAATGCGCAGGGTATGGCGAACATGAGGAAAAAGAAACATGGAAGAAGGATAACGAGTAACATTATCATACTGGCGATGCCGGAAAAGGCAACAAGGAGTTATCGCTAAATTGTCGGCTTGACCCTCCTGCTATTCCGCCTGCATACCAAACCTCAAGGACCAAGGTGCATGGCGCGAAGCGCCACTGCAGTCTTGTATATATATATATATATATATGTATATATATATATATACACATATATCATGCCCCTTATGCCCCAAACAATAGTGGCACCGTGACGTTTTTCGTTCCTCCCTGTAGTAAAACGCGGTTTAGTGAAAACGGCCCGAGGCCCAAACCTGGCGGGCGCAGGCCTGGAAAAGAACGGCCGCGGCGCCCTCTCGAGAGCCGACAACGGACAATTCACGAATCCACGTGTCACTGTTGGGGGTTCTGTCCGCCCCCGCACGGCCTCCCGGGGCAGGCAGTCCACGCCGCCGCAGGGCTCCGGGGACTCGCCCGCGCCGCGCGCGGGCGCCCCCGCCGCCGCCTCGCCGGGCCCCTGGAGCGCGGCCGGGGCGCCGTGTGCCTCACTGTGCTCCAGGTCCTCCGCGAGCGGCGGCGGCGGCTCCCACCTGAGCGACCGTCAAAATCCTCCTCCTCCTCCTCCTCCTCCTCCTCGTCCTCCAGCCAGAATCTCATCCATCATCTCGTCCTCCTCTACTCCCCTCCTCTCCTCCTCCTCCTCCTCTGCTCCTTTCCTCCTCCTCCCACCCAGCTCCTCGCGAGCTTGTCGTCGGTCCTCCTCCTCCTCCTCCTCCTCCTCCTACTCCTTCCTCCTCATCCTCTCCTCCTGCTCTGCTCATCCTCCTCCTCCTCCTCCTCCTCCTCCTCCTCCTCCTCCTCCTCCTCGCTCTATCCCTCGACCTCGCCCTCCCCGCCCCCCCGTCGCGGGTCTTACGGCAGATGACACAGCGACCTTGCGCGGCGGCTTACGCGGGCCGCCTGCGCGGTACGCTGCCTTGGAAACGAGAGCGCTTATACGCGCGACCCTACACGAGCGGCTTGCGCGCCAATGTCGGCGCAGACGACCCCCTCTTTTGTGTCGCTCGCCTGGGATCCTGTGGCTGGCGCGAGATCACGCGGCGCTCTTCCACATACTGCGACAGATCTGAGGGATCTTCACCGGTGAAGCCGCTCTTCTGCCTCGTCTGGAGATTGAAAACCTGCTGTTCCGAGCTCTCGAGGGCCCGGTGGATCAGCAGGGTCATTGCGCAACCGAATGTGAAAAACACGCACTCCAGCAGTAGCCGTACCACCGTATCAGGTGGCAAAGCGTGCGATGGTGTGAATGCTAAGGAGCTTAGCACCGAAGTCAAGTAGGTCGAAACAACTCCCAACACAACGACAGTCGCATACCTCCACGGCAGCAAGAAGGTTGTCAAGTAGGACAGCATGATGTACATCATGAACGTTGTCTGGATGGATGAAGCGGCAGCATGTTGAGCAGAGCAGCCGTCCACGTCAAGACGCGGATTGGCTCCGATTGCGCCACTCGTAGCCTCGTAAACCATGAACTGGACCCTTCTGTTGCAGCAGGCGACCATCACGCAGTCCACGTAGATGAACACCGAAGAGAGCCAAGGAGGCCTCGGCCTGTCGACGACGTAGGAACTCAAGTGCATCGCCAGCACTGCGCAGGAGCCGGCGATTGGAAACCAACTCGGAGCAAGCAAATCCCCCATCATGAGACATCCAGTCACCACCGCGTACACCGCAACTGCCAGTATGTACACGACATCGTGCAGGCGGCCGCTCGTCGCCTTCCTGGCGGAGTACTCCTCGCAAGACCCCATGTGCCTGGCGCAACAGAGCCGGCTCCAGCCGAAGTGGCTTGAGCCAGCCTGGCCTGGCTACACAACAATGTGCCAGCTATGTGTTTGCCACGAGCGCGGCACGACGAAGCAGCAGGCGACGCAGATCCAGTCGCGCCCCGGGGCGCCAGCCAAATGACGGGGAAGGCTTGGCGGAGAGGGGTGGTTGGTGTCGACCAAGGGGGGCCCCTTGCGTCGCCTTTCCGCCTGCAATTTACGCCTCAGAGGCCGAAACTTCTGAAACACCGATAGCTTTTTAGTGATGTTTCCCGCCTTTCTGGTGCCAGGCGGGCCTTTTGCAATCGAGCTTTGAGCTGCAATGGATACGGCCGCAGCTTTGCTTTTGTCAGCGATCATAAACGCATGCCTGCACCGCTCCTCGCCAACGCTGTCAAGCAGAAGAAATCGGGCACAGGGCGGTAGGAACAATGGGAAGCGACACCGCCACCACCACCAGCGCTAGGAGCCAGGGAGGATCCTCCTGGTGGTATGCCCCCCCCCCTCCCCGCTCGAGGTGTCCTGTCCCCGGCTCTGGGCGGCATCGTGAGCCGCCCTGCTGGACGTGCCCGCCCCTGCTGGTGGTGCTGGTGCCGCCCCTCCCTCCCTGCACGTCAGGCACGCACTGATCGACGTGTCAGGGCGTGAGGTCTGTCCGCCCCCGATCCAGGGGTCCCCAGAGGGCCCGGCCGGGCCCCCGAGAAGGTCCCCCAGAGGCTCGGGCCCCCGGGCCTCGCACTCGTGCACGGCGGGAGGAGGCCGACCCGAGGGAAGGGGCGAGAGCCGTGCGCCGCCGAGGCGCGGGCGGGCCCGCCCCGGGAGGAGCGACGGCACGGAGGAGCAGCGACAGCCCAGAGGCCCCCGAGGTCCAAGCACGTCCAGCACTTCGGTCGGGCGTGTCCCCCTGCAGGCGGATTTGGGACGACAGGTAAGAACGACTCAAAGACAACTCCCCAAAATGGTCGGACATAGTCAACAAAAAGCGTCCACAGACTATGCTTTGACAATTGTTTTAGTATTCCTCCTGCAGAGGAACCGCCCGACTTATCTAACGACAGCCCAGAGACCCCCGAAATCCAAACGCATCCAAGACACAGCCGCCCTGGATAGGCGAACCGCGACCTGTCGGCGGTGGACAAACCTCCCTTCAGTAAACCTCCCCTTCGTCAAAAAACGGCCTGGGACCGAAACCGACGGACCCGGACCCGCAAGAAGGACGGCCCCGACGCCCTCCCGCGAACCGAGAGCGGCCACTTCCTCCCAATCGACGTGTCGGGGCAGGAGGCCCGTCCACCTCCGATGGGTACATCCTGCCCCCTAGACCCGCTCCCTGCGCTCCAGGTTGGGCGCCCGAGTTACCCCTGATGATTCTGGGGCTCTGGACGCCCGAATTATCCGGGGTAACTCGGGTCCGGGATAACTCGGGTTCGGATTCCCGAAAAACGAACCCGAGTTAGCCCTGACCCGAGTTACCCCTGATGATTCGGGGCTCTGACCAGGCGCTCCGCCCCCTCGCGCAGCCCCGCCCCGCAGGGGGGGGGGGGGCGGCGAGCGGCCCCGGAGGCCGGCGAGCTCCAGGCTCTCGCTCGGCGCGTCGGCGCTCCCCGAGGCCCCGCGGCCCCCCCCATGCGCACAGGGTCAGAGTCGGCGGCCTGTCCCTCTCTACGGGAGGAGTTGGGCGTGGCTTAGTGGGGGGGTCATAAATGGGGGGGTCAGAAACGGTCCCCTTTCGTGCCCCTTTCGGGCCCCTCTGGAGCCCCAGGGGGCTCGTTTAGGTACCGTTTGGGTACCTTTTCGGACCACCCGCGACACCCCCCCCATTTATGACCCCTCCATTACGCAACGCCCAAAGGAGTCTTCCAAACCAGCGTCAGGGCAGGAGGTCTGTCCCCCTCCGAGACCTCGGGCCCGGTCGTCGCCTCTGTCTCTCTCTCCCTGGAAGGCGGGCCCCCAGAAAGCGCAGGCCGACGCCTCCGCCGCCTTCCTGGGCCGCTCGGGATCCTGAGAGCCGGGCCTCTCTCTCTCTCTCTCGCTCTCGCTCTCGCTCTCTCGCTCGCTCGAGCGAGGTGGAGGTGGAGGAGGAGGCGGCCGCGGAAGGAGGCGGAGAAAAGTGGGGACGACCGAGTGTCCACGGTCGACCCGTGTTTTCCTCCGTCGTTCATGTGAGCTTGACTGTCGAAATTCTCTGGTCTAGGATCGGCTGCGAGGTAAGCACGCTGACGCAACAACGTAGCCGAAGGCGCAACTTCAGAGGGGGAGGTGGGGCGAGGCGCTGCGGATTCAAACCGTGGACCCATCTCAACAAAGGATGGCTGGGAAACATGCCACGTCTTGGTTGGGGGAGGGGACACTTTTGCTTCCGCCGCCTGCTGCCGAACTTCCGCAGCTGGCTGGAGCCGCCCCCATCTTGCTTCCGCCAACATCTGCCGTCTTGAAGCCACCTTCCGCAGAAGAAAGAGGCCCATCCTCTCGATCCATCGAAAGTGAGGTCTTTTCTGCTGGAGCACCTGCTACGCAGACGTCCAACAGATAATTTATCGAATCCGCGGGCCGCCGAGATCTCAACCTTCCCTGTACGGGTTGTGGCGACCTCGTCGCCGGTTTCTGACACCGCGTAGATTGCTTATCCTTGAACGATCGGCGGCTTTTGGATCCCAGAGAGTGGAGTATTGGCAAATTCTGGGCCACTGGCGGCGGTCAACCTTGAACGCGCTCCTGCCGCGTCAACACAACACAAACCTCCCGCAGGGCCAGCCAGTCGTCGATGACCACGGGGTCTGGAGACGGCCCCTGGAGGCCGAAATTCGAAGAAGAAGAAGAAGAAGAAGAAGAAGAAGACTCATAGGACTAAGACTCGGACACTGCATCAGAACCTTCGGAGGCCCGCGCGGATTCCTTGGATCGGCGCTGGACCCCGCGCGTCCCTACCCCGAGCCCCGCCGATGTGCCTCCTGCCCGTCCGGCAGCATGCTCCCCCGGGCTGCGGCGCGCTCGCGCCTCGCGCGCGCGGCGCCCCGCGAGAGCTGGCTGCGGCCCAGGAGCCAACGTGTCAGGGGGGGGGGCTCGCTCGCCCGCGCCAGGCTCGCATGGAGAACCCGCACACCTGGGCGACGCCAGCGTGCCCCGGCAGAGCATCGCAACAGCTGCAGAGGTGAAGAGGCGGGGCAGGGGCGAGAGCGGCCAGGGCAGAGGTGGGAGCACGGCCGTGCGAGCGACGAAGCCCTGACGAGCCTCACGCAAGATGGCACGGCGAACGCGGCGGCTTACGCGGGCCGCCAGCGTGGCGCGCTACATCGGAGACGAGGGTTGTGTTGCTCCCATCGTACTTAATGACCACATCCCAGGAGTCATTTCAAGCACCCGGGAAAATGTCGAAAGAGTGTCGAAACAGTGTCGGAACAGTGTCGGACGAGTGTCTCCCAGGGCCCGACACGCGAAAACCCTCGAACGTAGTTGTTTTTTCCCAACCATCCTGTGGTGTTGGGTCCTCGTTTCGAAGAGACAGCGCCCCGCGTTCCCACCTCCCGCTACCCCCTCCCCCCTCCCTCTCCTCCCTCCTCCTCCCTCTCCTCCCTCCTCCTTGCGTTTCACCCACCCACTGCAGCGCTTCGTGGCTCCATAGGGAGCTCCAGCAAAGGCCCCAGTGGCAGGGTCCGCATGCAGTTCCACCTCCATTTCGGCGCACCTCTCACACGTTTCGTGGCCCCATAGGGTGCTCACATAAGACCCCAGTGGCAAGGTCCGCATGCAGTTCCACCCCCATGTCGGCGCACCCCTCACACGTTTAGTGGCCCCATAGGGTGCTCCACCCAATGCCCCAGAGGCAGGGTCCACATGCAGTTCCACCTCCATTTCGGCGCACTCCTCACACGTTTCGTGGCCCCATAGGGTGCTCCACCCAAGGCCCCAGTGGCAGGGTCCGCATGCAGTTCCACCCACATTTCGGCGCACCCCTTCCACATTTCGTGGCCCCATAGGGTGCTCCGCCCAAGGCACCAGTGGCAGGGTCCGCATGCAGTTCCACCCCCATTTCGGCGCACCCCTCACACGTTTCGTGACCCGATAGGGTGCTCCGCCGAAGGCCCCAGTGGCAGGGTCCGCATGCAGTTCCACCCACATTTCGGCGCACCCGTCACACGTTTCGTGGCCCCATAGGGTGCTCCGCCCAAGGCCCTAGAGGCAGGGCCCGCATGCAGTTCCACTTCCATTTCGGCACACCCCTCACACGTTTCGTGGCTCCATAGGGTGCTCCGCCGAAGGCCCCAGTGGCAGGGTCCGCATGCAGTTCCACCCCCATTTCGGCGCACCCCTCACACATTTCGTGGCCCCATAGGGTGCTCCGTCGAAGGCCGTCGTGACAGGTCCGCATGCAGTTCCACCACCATCTCGGCGCACCCCTTCCACATTTCGTGGCCCCATAGGGTGCTCCGCCCAAGGCCCCACTGGCAGGGTCCGCATGCAGTTCCACTCCCATGTCGGCGCACCTTCACACGTTTCGTGGCCCCATGGTGTGTTCCGCCGATGACCCCCGTGGCAGGGCCCGCATGCAATTCCACCCCCATTTCGGCGCGCCCCTCACACGTTTCGTGGCCCCATAGGGTGTTCCGTCGAAGGCCCCAGTGGCAAAATCCGCATGCAATTCCACCTCCATTGCGGCGCACCTCTCACACGCTCCGTGGCCCCATAGGGTGCTCCGCGGAAGGCCCCAGTGGCAGGGTCAACATGCAGTTCCATCCCCATGTCGGCGCACCCCTCAAACGTTTCGTGGCCCCATACGGTGCTCCGCCGTAGGCTCCAGTGGCAGGGTCCACATGCAGGTCCACCTCCATTTCGGCGCACCCTTCACACGTTTCGTTACCCCAAAGGGTGCTCCATTCAAGGCCCCCGTGGCAAGTCCGCATGCAAATCCCCCTCCATGTCGGCGCACACTCACACGCTTCGTGGCCCCATGGGGCGTTCCACTTAGGGCCCCAGTGGCAGGTTCCGCATGCAGCTCCCCCTCCATTTCGGCGCACCCCTTCCACGTTTCGCGGCCACCAAAAGCCCTGGTGGCAGCGCCCGCGCGTGGTTCCACCCTGCATTTCGGCGCACCCCTCACGCGTTTCGTGGCCTCAGATGGGGCTGCACCGACGGCTCCTGTGGCAGCGTCCGCATGGCGTACCCGTGCCAATTTTGGCACACCCGGCACACGCGTCGTGGTCTCAGAGGGAAGTTCACCGAGGCCGATACCCACACCTGCGTTACACACAGCTGCACATGGTTGGGCCCTTCGCCGGGATAA